GTGACTGAGGTGAAGTATACGTTATTTCATAATTTGGTACAGCAAACAAAGGAAAATTACGCATTTCTTTTGTTATAGCCGTTAGAGAATTTCCCTTTCCTTCTTTCGTTTCTGACGTACCTGTTTCGGCGCATCACTAGAATGAACTAGAAAGATTGTCATTCTTCAGGCGTGTTTTTATTCTGTATGAGTTATGAAACATATATTAAACCCAACAATATTACGCTTTTCTCACTTCGTGTCTGTATAAAAAATGCCGCGAGTCTATGTTCGTAAAAAACAGCCAAAATATACCGAAGAAAGTTTAAATAAATTAATTGATTTGATTAAAGACAAAAAAATTAGTCTTAAGATCGGATCAACGCAATTTAATATTCCGCTTTCCACTATTTATGATCGTTTGGCGCACAATCGGGGGCCAAGAGGAAGTCAAAACAATTCTTTCTATTGCTGAAGAAGAGTTTCTTGTGAAGGTAATCAAGCTGTATCAAGAATGGCAGCAACCAGTCTCAAAGCCAGATATTCTTGAATTAACGAAGACATACATGAAACAATTGGGAAAGAAAACGAAAAATCAAGATGGTAATGAATTAAAACTGAATGATTGGTATTATGGATTTTTAGCAAGATGGTCTACAGAATTAAAAACAATGAAAACGTCACCACTAGAAAAAATACGATCACAATCATTAACACCAGATGTAATCAAACATTGGTTTAATCGTTCAAAATTAATTATGGCTAAATTAAATTTATTTGATCGTCCACAATCAATTTACAATGTTGACGAAAGTGGGTTTTCAGATCATGCAGGACGTAAAACAGTGATTGTTAAACGTTCAACAAAAATTGCAATATCGACTCATGGTGGTAGTGGCAAAAGCTTCACTACGGTATTATTATGCACATCAGCAAGTGGCAGGTAAGAATTAACGTTTTATCTAATCGAAGAACGCATGATCTAAGAGTGAAGATTGATAGTTCATTTCTAAAGACTGAACTTTAGCGGAAAGGTTTCAGTTATCCAAATAGATCTTCACGCATTGTCATCCAAATGCTTTTATTTTTTTCTGTTTTAGTTGTCTACCGTGTTCTTCGATTGGTTCGCTAACATGTTTATACCATGCACTGCAGCTGTTCGAAAACCCGTGATGCTTATTATGGATGGACATAAAACCCACATTTCACCAAGAACAATCAAACTAGCCATGGATAATAATATACATTTAGAGGTTCTTCCACCGCACTGAACTACCGTTTTTCAACCATTAGATGTAGTAACACTGAAGGTCGTTAAAACG